CCCCCCCCCCCCCCCCCCCCCCCCCCCCCCCCCAGGTCCCTGGGTGCCCTGTACGGCTCAGATGGGGCTGAGCCCATCCGGGATGGTGGCAAAGCACCGGAGCCTCCCCCACACTTTGGATAACTCCTACCCTGCTCTGCGCTCTGGCCCGCAGACATAAACAACGAGACCCTTCCCCAGATACAAGAGCAGCGCTGGGAGAAGCCTCCGCTGTTGTCAGGGCCAGGCAGGAGCTGCCTGCGACTCGGGGTGCCAGGGAGAATGTGTCGGCAGCGCGAGGCGGATTGGAGCCGGTGTCTCCAGGCGTGCCGTGGCTGCGCTGCCATCCTGCGCGCTTTGATCTGGGGCCCCGGCGCAGAGCAGTCTGCCTGGAGACACGCTCACGTGCCCGGGAATTAGGTCAGGTCTCGGTGGGGATTAGCGAGCAATGGTGGGTCCCGGGGCTTCACTGGGGCTGCCAGGAGCTGCTGCTAGGCAGAGAGGGTTGGAAAGTGAAGAGCAGCTTGGGGGGGTCTCACGCTGCGCCTCCCCCCCCCCCCCCCCCACAGTGTGGATGCCCAGGGAGGGAGAGCATCCCCATCCTCACCCCTGGGATGCCAGAGAGACTTCGAGGCCCACAAGGGCTCTGGTTTCCCCTGGCCAAGCTATTAACTCCACCAAGATGACTCTCCTCCCGAGCACGAGGCGCCCCGGTGCCTGCTGCACTGCTTTTTATTTATACCTGCAGTGGAAATAAACCCCGTGTCGTCAGAGCCTGGTGAGAGGCATGAGCTCATCTCTTATATTTGGTGGTGATGAAAGAAGGGTAAATAAACGGCAGCAGCAGAGACGTCCCTGCCGGACCCATCAGGGAGAACTGGGTGCGAGTTTTTGTCGTGCCCTCCAAGAGGTGCTGGGGAAACTGAGGAAGGGAACTGCCCTTGGGAAGCTGAGGTGGCAGAAGGAAGCCTCACTGGGCACCCTCAAAGGGGGGCCCAGTACCCCTGCCCTGCCTGAGTGCAAGCCAGGGATATGCTGAGATGAAACCCAGCTGGAAGGGTGATTGGGGCTGCCAGGTGCTCCTGTGCATGGGCAGAGGGTGCCCTGGCAGCTGCCAAGTCCCCAGCACAAGGTAGCAGCAGGCTGGCTGGGAGATATTACGATGGTGCTGAATCAAAGCTGGGAAATATTCCCTGATTCAGTGCACAGTTCCCCAGTAAACCCCCACTGTGGGTTGCCCAGGAGCCTCAAATGCCTGGTCAGGTATGGGGGATGTACAGGTCCTCGGGCAGGCATTATCCATGTGGATTAGAAGGCATATCCCCCAGAACTGGGCAGCGAGGACATCCCTCCTGCACCCACTGGCAATCAAAATCAAAAGGTATTGGAAGGGGTAGAGGAACTCCCAAGTCAGTATTTCAGTCAGTCCCAGGTACAGGTGGTTTGGGTGCCCCTCTGTCACAGGGAACATGCACCCAGGAGTGTCACACTGCAGCAGCACTTGCCCAGCTGGGCCTGTTGGACTGACCCTGCTGCACCTGGCTGGGAGTGGGGCTGTGAGTGCTGGGCAGGGTCTGCACCCTGTCACCCACACGCTGTCTGGGGATGTTGGTGCAGCCGTCACCTGTGGCCACATGCAGGGGACAGCTGGTTACCAGAACCTGCTCAAGCCTCTCCTCCGAAACAACCCCCCACCTCCTCCATTACACCTCTTGGCTAAACATCCTCCGCCTTTACTGAAACTCTGGGCTTACTCACACCTCCCTGGCTGGCTGCAGCTGTGGGAGAGGTCCTGGAGTTTCCTGCCCAGCCTGACTCAGCCCAAAACCCCGGCACCCTTCCGCCTCTGCTGGGATGTGGGCTCTGGCATCCCAGTGGGAGGAGGCTGGGAGCACCCAATGTCTTTCCCTCTGGGCCAGTGGTCATCCCATGCACCCTCTCTCCAGTCCCAGATTTATTCCTGCTTTTCACCCCTCCATGGGGAAGGCATGCTCTCCACTGGTCCCCGGATGCTTGCTCTGACAGCAGGTCAGCAAGTAGGTTGTGTGCTGAAAGGGGTTGGTATGGGGTTAAGGTTGGGGTTTTGGGGTATTTTCCTTCTATTTATGGCAGGCAGATAGAATCCCTCCGTCATTCCTCCGTCATTCCCCTGGGGAAAGGACGGGAACATCTGGAGAGCAGCAGGAGAGCATTGACTCATCCTGCAGCTTCATTAACTTCTTATAGCTGGTTATCATCTCCCTCTGATAAGAAGAGAGCAGCATCCGTGGGGTCAGGCCCGTGGTAATTGTCTGGGAAGGCTCCAGGGTTAACCCTTCCCCAGCTGCTGGCTGAGCCTCCCTGAGCTCTCAGGGCACAGCCGGTGCCGGGGAGCAGCTCGGAGCACCCCGGGTTGTGTTCTCAGCCTAATGGGGAGCCCAGCTCAATGGCAGCTCCAGGGGAAGGAGAGGAGCTGGGGCAGGAGGATGCCACTGCAGGAGGATGGGGGCAACGGGCTTCATGGCTATTTCTAGTCACAGAGAATGGTGCCCCCAGCAATCAGTCCCTGTCGGCGGGGCGTGAATCCCCCTGGTCTCCCCGTCGCGCCTCTCTCTGGGTGTAAAGATGTTTTTGAGTCTCGCTTTGAAACCAGCTGAGCCTTCCCTTTGAACACCCCCCCAGGCCCATGCCTAACGAGGCAAACAAGCTAATTAGGCCACGGTGGAGCCCAGGGCTGGTCGCCTGGGGCCAGCGCCCGGCAGCGGCTCCCTGCCTGCACAGGAACAGCTTGTGGCTGCTCTCCTCAATTCGTGCCATCATCCTCAAGGCGAGTGACAGGTCCCTGCAGAAATCTCTGTGGCAAGTGAGAAGGGCTTTGGGGTTTGCCCAGTGCATTCCACTGATGGGAGAAGCTCTTTGCAATGCAACAAGACTCTGAGACCCGCCAGCAGCATCCCTGGGTTTTAGCCATGCACTGTGAGGATTCAGCCCAAAACAGGTGTTGGAGCATCTTGTAGGATCCCTGACCCCACTCTCCTCCACCTGCCCAGCTTGAGACAACCTATCAGCTCATTTCTCCAGGGCAAAAATGGGGAATTGACTGTCACTCCCTGGTGACAGTCAATTGTGAATTGTCTGTCACAAACTCTGGCAGAAAAAACACTTTTGGCCAGCCAAGAAGGTCCAGAAGTGTGGCTGGGAGATGGCAGCATGAGCACAAACCAGAGTGGGGTCAGGGTGCATCTGGCACTGCCCTGCCCACCTCGAAGATGCCAAGGGCAAAGTGGTCCATGGGATGATGCTGTGACTTCGTGGGGTGCCAGAAAGGCAGCACCCACCTTTGCCCTGGGTCATGTCTGGCCAGGCTGGATGGCTACCCACCCCAGCGTGGTGGCATCTCTCCCAGCTGTCCCCACACTGCCCCGGGGCACAGTTCCCAGCCAGCTGGGTGCTTGCTCCTGAGGATGAGGTAGTGTCTCCCACGGCTGGGTTAAAGGCTTCGCTTCGGGCATTGGTCAATCTGTTTTCTCTCCGGCCTGGGAGCCAAATGGAAGGCACTGGCCATAAGGGACCCACTTTGGCTTCTTGACCCCGAACAGGCGGGCAGGCTCCCAGGCTGCCTGGCCCACAGTGGGGACATTCCAACGAGAGGAGATCAAGGTCAAGGTGACCAAAAACAGCTTTTCCCAGCTGCTTCCCATTCCAGCCCTGCTGACCATGTGTCTCTAAAGCCTCATCCTAGGAAGTAGCATTTCTCCTCTCCTTTGGGTTTATTGCCCCAGAAGGAAGTGCAGCTGAAATGGCTGGAGACTTGTAATATTTTCTGCTGGAAAATGCTGGCCTGGGAGATGGAGCATCTCCCAAAATGGCACCGGTTTCAGTAAAGCTGCATCTAGAGGTAAAGACCTAGAGGAGGAAGGGGAGGGGGGCTGAGAGCAGGGCAAGTCCACTGTCTTCGTAGTCACACCATGCAATTGGGGGCCTAATACAGCATCTTTAAGAAAGTGCCAAATTTGCTTTTTTGTTGAAAAAAATTTAACCTTTTCAAACCATACCAAATATGTTGGGCTTTTTTATTATTCCTGACCACCTCAGACATCCTCCAATTTCTCCTACAAGGAGAATTTCAAAACATTGCATTTGGCTCCAGTCTGAATCAAAGCCAGATTTTGAAACCTCCAGATCTTTGCAAAAGGGACCAACGTCCTCTGGACGGCCACCACCCAGCCCAGCCGGGCTGAGAGACCTCCAAGACAAACGCATGAGGCAATACCAAAGGATGCTGAAAGGGCTCTTCCCCCTGGACCCTGGTGAGGCAATGTCCCTGTGCTGGCCCAGCCACGGGGCTCAGACAGACACATCCCACCCTTTGACTCCTGCCGGACCGTGGGACAGTTCTGCTCAGAGCGCTGCCCCTGTCCTGAGCCCAGGCTGTGTGATCTCAGCCCCTCCCTGTGCTCCCCCTTCCTTCCTGGAGCATCCTTCACCACCTCCCCAGGGCAGCTGCCTTTCAGGGCTGGGAGAAGTGATGCCAATTGGGGCACATTCACAGTGTTTCAGGATCACTGGGGGTGGCATGGGCCTTTAGCAACATGAATTGCCTGGGGACCATAACCCCATTCCATGAATGCATTTTCCAAGCAGTTCCTCCTGGGCTGGGGTCAGCACATGGTACCTGGCCCTGATGACCGGAGGATGCTTGGGAGGGCTGCTCAGTCCTTCCCATGGGTGCTATCCTGCAGTGGGACCCCAGTGGAATGGTGAGATTCCCTGCCCCATGCACTGGATGTGCAGTTCACACAAAGCAGAGATGCTGCCTCGTGCTCTCCATGGGCACGTGGAACTCGGGGTCAGTGGAAACTGGGACAGGAATATTTGCTGGGTGGGGGGGGGTGGTGGTGGCAGTGAAATCATGGGCTGCCACACTGGGGAGATGGGGGCACGGGCGAAGAAATCAGCCCCCATGTCTGGAGGAAGGCCCACAGGGATGGAAGAGCTCTGAGCTCTGCACCAGAGGGGCAGAACCACAGGCTCATGGTTCCTGCTGGCTCTTTCCCTGCAGATGCCTCGGCTGTGGACATGGACCTGTATGAGGCCCAGACACTGGCAGATGCCCTGAAGTGGTACCTCCAGGAGCTCCCATCGCCCCTCATCCCTCCAGCTCTCTACAGCGACTTGGTCCACATGGCTCAAGGTAAGCACACCCGGGCTCCCCCCACACCTGGGACCTTTGTGAGGCTGAAGAAGCTTTGGGTAGACCCTAAAAAGGCTCCCCAGCATCTCCAGGGTGGCTCTGACCTGATCCCCTGCCCAATGCTGCACAAAGGGCAGGTTCTGAGAAGGACCACTGGGAACATGACGTGTGCCAGAGCAGTGCCACAGCATTTGGGAGGTGATCTGGGAAAGCAAGAGAAGGCCCAGGGTTCTTCTTTGCCCCCACCACAGCGTGGTCTTCTCCTGCTGCAGTGCCTGGAGAAGGAGGTGCTGCCTGCCAGGACGGGTGGCTGCCAAGGCTGGGTGATGCTGGCCCCAGAAGAAAGCATTATTATAATATTTTGGCTCTGCTGCCTGGGAATTTTTTCCTGTAATCTCATTAACTCTTGGCTTTATATGGGCACAGAAAATTCTCTGCTTTTTCAGCTTAGTGCCATTAGGAAGTGCCTTTAGATCCCTGCAAGCTTTTCCACCTCTGTGCAAATGTATGAGACCATTAAGGTTTTGGTTTTATTTGATTTTTTTTTCAAATAAACAGAGCAGGGCTCGTACCCAGGCCGGCAGAGCCCATGGTTCATCTCAACAGTGAGCCTGGACCAAAATGCATTTCATATGAGTCCTCACTGAGCTGCTCAGCCCCTCCCAGCCTGAGGCCCTGGGGGCATCACCAGGCACACAAGAAGCCCTTGCCCACTATGTTAGAGAGGACCTGAACCCTTTGCTGCCTGTGAAACCAGGATTTCCCCTTTCACAGCAGCTCTCGTCTCACTGCCAGTTGCTGCAGTATCCTCCATTTCCAAGCATCACCTCCCCGTCCTAAGCCAGATTAGCGCTTGGGCAGATCATGTTCTTGGCTGCCTTAAGAGGCACTAAAAGATCACCCATGGCCAGACCAGCGTGGCCTTTCCGTACCCTGTCCTGGTGGGAGAAGGCCACAGGCTCTTTGTGGCCTCCAGCAAGGCAGGAGGGATACATGGACAAGGCGAGGGATAACACAGCCCATCCTCCCTGCCCTGTGCTGGGACATGGAGCCAGAAGAAATACCCCTGGGGCTGGTGGCACAGAGAAGCTGCCTTCCCCTCACCCTTCAGAGCAGAAATCAAAGGCTGCCTCCCTTCCAAGGATAAAAACGCAATTAGGAAGCAATTAGCTGGGTTGCCTCGTTAAGCAACTTCAAAGGGAAGCGCCTTTCCCTGCAGCCTGTGCTGCAGTGGGCTCTGCTCCTGGCACAACAGGGGCAGGAGGAGGAGGAGGGGGCAGGAACGGAGGAGAAACCAATGGAAAGGGGATTTCTCTGGGGCTTAAAAGAAAAAAATGAAAATATAAGTCTTTGAGGAGATGGTGCTGGGTTTTGGCAGCCTGCCCTGCAAGCCTCCTTCTGCCCTGCTTGAGGCAGAGGGCTGGAAAAGCAGCAAGATGACCACCTGCAAAAGGAGGGGGAAAACATCGCCAAATTCCCCCTTTGGCTGTGGGCCTTCTCCTGGAGGATCCTCTGGGTGCAAAAAGGTGCAAAAAAAGCAGGGATTGGGATAGGGAAGGCCTGGAGCAAAGCCAAACATGCCTCAGGAGCAGCTCGTTGGATACGAGGACTCACAAACACCCCATTACCATCCCAGCTGGGTTGCAGACCTGCTTTGGAGGGGATCCCAGACCCCTTCCCCTGCAGCTCTGGTGCACCCTGGCCCCAAGGATGGATGCTGGGAGCTGGCTGGGCACTGGCCAAGCCTCAGTCCTGGAGCAAAGAGCCGCGGGGAGCTGAGTCAGCCCCTGGCCGAGCCAGACTTTGAAGGTGGCTGAGAGCAACTCAGCCCTGGGGACCTCCCTGTGCCCCACAGATAAAAGGGCTGGGACAAGGCAAGGATGGATGATGGCTGGACAGCCACTGTTTCCTGTGCCTGGGGCAGACTGCAATCCCAGGGCACTGATCTCACAGATCACAAGACCAGGGAGCCCCAGCCAAGGCTGTCAGAGGGCACTGGGGACATGGAATAGGACACTGGTGGGAACGCCATGGGCTGTGGGCTGCTCAGCCCACAGCTGAGCTGCTCACCCGTGATGGGGGTTCTGGCAGTACCTCCATGATGTATAACACCAGTAGGTGCCTGATATCATTCATGTGGGCAATTCAAGCATCGCTGGAAGTAGCTGTACCCCAGTCAGCCCTCCCTATTCTGTATTTCATGGGGTGTGAGACCACAATGTGGGGGCTGCAGGTGTGGCTGTAGTGAGGCCCCTGCAGCCCAGGTGCACATTTGGGTTTTTGCCTCCTAAAAAGCCTTTTCCCTCCCAGCTTGCTTTATCTGCAGGGGAGGGCTGAGCCTTTAAATTCAGCAGATCTTCCAGCTGGTGCCCATTTCCCCACCTCTGCTTTGCTCTGCCTCGGTTGTGCTGTGCACCAGGGCAGGGTTCTCACTATTCTCCTCTGTTGGAGCAGCAGTGAGGGGTGTTTAGGTGCAGCCCTTGCCATGTGAGAAGCTCAGCCCCCCCATGCTCCCTCCCTGGCTGTGCTGAGAGGAGGAATGTGCTAAAGGCACCTGACAACCTGCTCTGGGATGGTGGGGTGGTAGGAGTGGGTAAATGGGGCTGGCAGCTCCCAGCAAGATGAAGCCAAGACCATGAAGACACTTCTGCATGCCCTGGGATATCCATGTGTCCCCCAGCCTGGCTGGGAAGAGATGGGCTGCATAGGTTTTGTGGGAGAGGTTAAGATCAGGGTTTCTTGGGTCTCTGGGGGGGAGTAGAGAACTGCCACAACTTATGCCATTTGTGCTGGGGGGTGCCAGGCTCTCATGAGAGGCAAGGGGATGCCCTGACCTCCTGAACTGACCATTTTCTTCCTGTGCCCCTCTGCTGCAGAGACCCCAAGCCTGGAGGAATGTGGCCAGCGAGCCAGAGCCCTGCTGGCCCCCCCAGCCCTGCCACAGCCCCAGGCACTGCTCCTGCGCCAGCTCGCCCGCCACTTCTGCCACCTCTGCCAGGGCACCCACCGGAGCCGCTTCTCACCCCGGCTCCTCGGGGAGCTTTTCGGGGAAGTGCTTCTCCACCCTGTGGCAGCCAGGTGAGGTGCCCCTGCCATGCACGGGACAGGGTGGGTGAGAGGAGGGTGCCCGTAGCCAGGCATGGACAAGCTGGTCCCAGCCAAGCCAGTATTGCTGGATGGCAGCCCACCAGTGGCCCAGCCCCAGGTTTTTCTGAAGGGGGAGCTGGATCTGGGAGCTCAGATGCTCAGACATCACACCCATTCCCACGGTGATGGGGCGTGATGCACATGTGGAACTGGGATACACAGCGTTGCCTTGGTCCCACAGGAGATCCATCAGGGCAGCTGGGTTGAGGGTCTCCAGGGAGGCTGAGGTGCTGCCATCCTCACAGACCTCCTCCTTCTCCCCACAGCACCGAGGCAGGCCCTGAGCTCCGTGCAAGGATCCTCGAGTCCTTCATCATGGCCAGCGAGATGGCAGAGCTGCCGGCAGCTCCTGGTAAGAGATGTCCAGCTGGCGGTGGAGGGGGGACAGCGGGTGTGAAATTCAGAGAATTGACAGCAGCAGGTCACGGGGCAGTTTTGGTGGCCGGTGCGGTAGCAGGAACGTGCCCATGTCCCTGTGGCACTGCCCGGGCTACGCTGACTTCCTGGACAGGCAATCTGTTCCCATTGCCCTCCCTTCTTTCTCCTCACAGATAATGATTTTGGGGCATTTCTTTGCAACCCCTCAGAGGGTTTGCAGCTGTTTTCTTGCTTAATGTTTGTGTCACTGCTCTTTGGTGCCAGTGTGATGCAAGTGGGTTCTGCTGCCCCATTTTGGGGGCTTGGAATGCGTGGGGGCTGTCAGTGGAGGGCTGTTGTGCAGCTTGTTTTGGTGAGCAGGGATCTGGATACAGTCTGTGAGGAAAAAAAATACCAGCATGATCATAAAACGGCAGGATGGTTCTTGCTAAAGGATCAAATTAGGGTTTATGATTTTTGACTTGCGTTTAGCTCCCATGTGTGCAGAATTGCACTGCATCCACCAACACACTGCTGCTTTCCCTGTGGGGCATCCCCAGGGTGGTGAAAAGGATGGGCACTTGTCCCCCACCTCTCCATGCACGGGAAAGGAGCTGGGAGTGTGGGTTTTTCTGCAGATGTTAATGAGCCCACCCAGCCTCATCCCTCAGGGCAGCAGTCCTGCCTCTTTCATTACCAACACCACTGTTTGCCTCCAGCATCTCTTTGCTCTTTTGCTCTGCTGGGCACTTTCTCTTGCCAGATCCCTCTTGCTGAGTGGCATCTCATGTCCCATTGGTGTCCAAAACTGAAGCACATCAACCCTGTGCCTTCTGCAGCACTTAAGGATGGGAGGCAAGTGGTCCATCCAGTCAGGGATGTACACAGGAGGGAGAAAGGTGCTCATGGGAGCACAAACCACAAACCTTGAGGACCATCGAGACCCATACTTGGGGGATCCCATTTCCAGGCTGCCACTGAGACCCGTCTGTTCTCCCACACGAAGCTGCCCAGAGCTCCCAGTGCTGGGAGGCACAACTGCTTCCAGGCCTCCTGCTTGGAGATAGGTTGGCACTGGCCCCAGTGAATCTTGTCTCTCTGTGATGTCTCTGGGTCCTTGTCACCACTCTGTCTCCCTGGGGGATGGCTGGGCCAGGCAGTATTATGACTCTTAATATTCCTCATAAATCAGCCCTTTCAGACTTGTCATCTTATTTATTGCTCTCCCCCAAGCTCTCGCCCATGAGTTTGCTGAGATACATATGTCTCTCTTCCACCTGCTGATCCAGATGTTGGGCAGCTGCAGCTCAGCGGTCCCCAGGGTCACCATTGCCCTCCCTGGACCTTGTGCTGTCATCAGCTGTCCCCACCCTGAAATGAGCAGAGGGGTTGGGCAGGATCCTGGGGTCCTTCTAGGTCAAAATCTCCCCTCTGGGCATCCCACAAGCGTGGGGCAGGACACGGGACACCTGGGCTCGCTGTGGGACTTCAGACAAGTCCTGCCACCTCCCCTCTCTTTGTACCTAAAAGCGAGGATATTATTACTTGCCTGTCATCACATTAGGATGCTGGGAAGCTTAATTAAACGTCTGCAAAGTGATTTTGAGAGCTGCGGATGAAAGGGGCTATATATAAAGTGCAAAGAATTATTATTAGCGGTGGGTCCGTGCCCCGGCCCCGTTCCCATCACCCTGGCCCCGCTCCCCTGCCTCCCGGCACCGTGATTATTTTGGTGCGTGTGTGGAGTTGTGGTTTTATAATTATACATGTAAAATAGCTATAAATACCCTGCAATAACACGGCGGGTGTGTGCACATAGCACAGGAATAGGAGTCGGTAGCTGACATAAGGAAACCGCGGTGTGACCTCATTCTGACTCAGATGTAAATATACCTCATGCGAGGGGGCAGCTGAGGGGTTTGGGGGCTGCTGGGGGGCTGCAGGGGCAGTGGCCTCCGTGGCAGTGAGGGTCATGTTTTGAATGGAATCTGAAGCTGTCTGCTAACTCCAGGGAGGCTCCTTCAGGGTCAGGATCCCTCCTCCCTCACGTGTCCTGGGACCGATGATGGAGTCTTGGATGTTAAAATCATCAGGAATAAAAATGTCAGTTATGGAATTTGGTTCCTGAAGGGGCTTTCCCGGGTGGATTCGCTGCTGTTGAGTTTGCAGAATGCCTTCCCAAAGGCACTGCTCCTGGAGGGTCTCTTCAGCCACCTGTGGATGGGCTGTGAACAGAAAAACAGGTCTGTAATGGCTCCTGAAAGTTCTTTCTGGTGACTATGGGATGCAACATTGGGGTCATGCTGGAGACATTGGTTTGCATAGGGCCCTGCACTGGTTTGCATGGGCTGAACCATGGTAAAGCTGGGCTGAAGCCTGGGGCCAAGTGACCACATCCAGGACACCTTGCTGTGCTCTCCAGCAAGACCCCAGTGCTGGGCAGACATCCCAGGGGAACATTGCCCAGCCCCATGGGGACCCAGGGGGCACACAGAGCCCACAGCACAACCCTAGGGTCTGGGGAGGGCTATTTCCCGAGCAGGGTGAGGGGGCAGGGGAAGGCAAAGGGAAGAAGTGATGCAAATACCAGCTCAGCTGAAGGAAGATGACTTCATCTCCTTTTCCTCTCCTGGTGCTATTTATAGTCACTTTAATTTACTCCCCTTTGCTTTATTATCTCTCCAACAAGCCGTTAGCCCTCAGACAGCAGGATGCCTTTACTCACCATGAAGCCCAAAGTTCTGCAAAAAAAAAAGAAAAAAACCACAACCCACCACCAAAAAAAAACCCAAAAGTGGGGGCAGGAGGCAGGGTAAGGCGGCAGAGTGCCTGGGCAGGAGCATTGCTGTCCTGTGACGTAGCTTTCTGGAGAAAATGAGAGGATTTTTGGCTCCTTTTGGAGAAAAGAGTGAGAATTAAGCAAGGAAGATGTCACCTTCCTCCTTCAGAGCAGTGGCTGGCAGTGCCAGGGTCCCCTCCTCACCCCAGGATGATGTCCCCTTGTTTTGCTGGACCCTGTTGAGGCAGGCACCCCCTGCTTCCCCTCAGGACCCTCAGCCCTGCCCTGCTTTATGTGGGGCAGTGGTATCACGCCAGGAGGTGGGGATCAGGCCCAGCCCAAGTGCCTTGAAAACGCCTTCCCAGCAAGAAGGTTTGGTATCCCTGGGCTATGGGGAAACTGAGGCACAGCCTCCCCATGGAGTCACCTTTCCAGTTGCTCCGAAATCCAGTCCCTGGGAGTGTTGGTCACCAGCTGCCCAGCCCGGAGCCCAGCTCCATTGCACCCCACACCCCAGTGCTCGGCAGGGGTGGAGGTCTGCAGTGGTGCTGGTGTTGGGTGACATCCCATGAACATCTCGTGATGTGACACGCTGGACACTTCCCAGCCTGAGCCCCATGCAGGCACCTCTGGGACAGCACTGCCGCTGAGCAGGACTGCCGTGTTAAACCAAATTAGAATGATCTGGCTTTGAAGTTTTTAATTAACTTTTCCCCTGCTTGCTTTCTTCTGGATCCAAGGGAAAAGCCCAGCCTCCCGCTCTCCCCAGCTTGCGTGTCAGTGTGTTACAGTGGAGGTTGTAGACTCGGATCTGCAGGGAGTCAGGGGGGAGCAGAGGGCTTGGCAGGTGGGGCCAACCCAGGGGTTGCAACCCCCTGCCTGCCTGGGATGTGGGGGCAGTGCGTCCAGGCCCTGCCCTGCCTCCATGGGAGCGTCCCTGCACAGCCATGAGCATCCTCCCCCTTGTCCTGGCACATCGGCCACAGGGTGCCTCCAATTTGCATTGCCCCTTGGTGTTTCATCCCCTCGGAGCTGCTGATGTGGGTTAAAAATAGCCAGGAGAAAACCCAACCGAAAGCCCCCGGGTGGAGAGCAGCCATGAGGCCATGGCTGAGTGGTCCCCTGTGCCGAAACACCTCATTCTGCCTCCCCGAATCTGCAAATAATACAGAGAAAGCAAATTAACAGTGGGGAAGGGGAGGGAAAAGAGCCAGAGCCGAGCCAGTAACATGAGGTAGGGAGAGCAGCTAAATATAACAGATCCCTGAAGGCACGGGGAAGAATATGACGGGGATCTGCACTCCTGCCATCCCAAAAGGTGGCCTTGTGCCTTCCCAGCTGCTCCTCATAATACAGCCCTGCCCGGTGAATCCAGAGAGGGAAAAGCCTCCGAGAAGGGGAGCAGTGGGGAGGCTTCTTCCCTTGAGCCATGGATGGAGGGAGCAGTGCTCCCACATTCAGCAGAGGATGGGGGTCCCCCAAGCACCCAGGGTGCCCAGCTGGGAGGCAGCTGCTGCCTGACCCACTTGCAGGCAGCCGGCGGGCAGTGGGATGCTGCTGGGAGACCCCAGGGGTGCTGCCTCCGCAGCTAATTTTAGCCTGTGTTCAATTAATCATGGAGAGGGAGGGGATCTCAGCAAGCCCAGCCTTTGCCAGTGCCTCCACCAGCTCCTCTTTCCACCCTGTGTGCGCTGCTGGAGGGTTTGGAGGAGCAAGGGCTGGGCATACACCCACCCCGTGATTTTGGGCTGAGGAACTAAGAGAGACCCTGTGCCAGCCTTCTGCCACCTGGCTTTAAGAGGCTGGGGCAGCCCCGGGAAGGATGTCCCATGGCAGCACAGGGCCAAGAGGGAAGGAGGCCTCCCTTGGTATCTCCTCATGCCTCAGTTTCCCGACGTTACTGGCAGTGATGGCCTTTGCTGTGGTGTTTCTCAGGTTGCCTGTACAGCTCTGAGCAGGAGTTTTCCCAGCATGCCAGGGCTCTGGAATGCCTCCCTGGAGTGGGGAGCAGTGACACCCAGCGAGGGATGTTTCAGACCTCTGCTGCACGCCCTGATGGCAGCTCCTTTCCTGGGATTCACTAGCTCTGGCCCTTTCCTAGCCCAAGCTTTGCAGGTCACCGTGTCCAGTGCTGCTTCGTCAGGCAAAGTTGGGGTGGGAGTAGCTGCACTGCTTGAAGACTGTCAGCTTCCCTGGCACAAGGAGGGACACTGGTG